TTCTGTGATTGCGCTGTGCTGCTTCTTTGCCACACTGCAGCATCGCCATGTGATTGCCAGCTACCAGCGTAAGCATGGAGACTCGGGGGACCATGTGATCGGGCTGCCACGCTTTATTTTGCTCTGGGGCAAACAGCCACACCTTTCCCCCCCCCTGCGTTATCTGGTCCATATGACCGGGGGCCCAGTTGCTCCTGAATCACTACCTAATAATGTCCGAATGTGTCTTGTTTCCCCTTATAGCTGTTATCAGCAGAATCTCCTCCATGTTAGGAACGGCATCCAACCTATAAAATAACATTAATGGTGACCATTTCAGATCATGTACAGTGTGCCTATGCTCCACTGAAACCAGTTCATGAAAATGCAGCTTTCTAGCATATGGAGATGCTCTCGCGAGATCCTACCTATGGCATTGGGAAGGAATGTTGTTTATTTGCACTTGTTGCTTATTTGCACGTAGTCGGTGTTTTCAAGGCAGCTTGCTTTTCAAAAGCCTGGGTTTCGGTTTGTGCTTTTAAAAAGGCAGAGAACCAATATAACAAATAGAAGGAGGAAGGAGACTGTTGCCTCGCGCTTGAACAGAGGGCAAATGAGGCCCACTGAACTTTCTTTAGGAGGGTTATCAGGGAGTTCGAAAAAAAGACCCCCCCCCCCAGAAGGGCCCCCAATGATTATCAACCAGCTGGTGGGGGGGGGCAAAGAACAAAGCTGAGGTGCTGGTGCCTCCACGCCCTGCTGGGGGACTTCCAGAGGGCATTAGGCTGGGCCACAACTTACTAGAATGATAAAAGGGTTGGAACACTTTCCCTATGAAGAAAGGTTAAAGTGCTTGGGGCTCTTTAGCTTGGAGAAACGACGACTGAGAGGTGACAAGATCAAGGTTTACAAAATTATGCATGGGATAGAGCAGGTCGAGAAAGAGGTACTTTTCTCCCTTTCTCACAATACAAGAACTCAAGTGGGCACTCTATGAAATGGCTGAGCGGTCGGGTTAGAACGGATAAAAGGAAGTCCTTCGTCACCCAAAGAGTGATGAACACGTGGAATTCACTGCCACAGGAGGTGGCGGAGGCTACAAGCATGGTCGACTTCAAGAGGGAATTAGATAAGCATCTGGAGCAGAGGTCCCTCAGGGAAACCTGTACCTTTACCTATAGATAGGAGCTCGCAGTCTGGGGCAAGTGATGCTCTGTCTTCTTGGTGCTTGGGGGAGGGGCAGCAGTGGGGGGGGGCTTCTGGTGTCCTGGCCCCCCTGCTGGACCTCCTGATGGCACCTGGTATTTCTGGCCACTGTGTGACACAGAGTGTTGGGCTGGATGGGCCACTGGCCTGATCCAACATTGGCTTCTTTCATGTTCTTATGTTGGGCTGGAATGGGCTCAGTTGAGGTCTTCTCCATTTAGACTGGTGGTTGAATCGTCCCACCCAAGTTCATGCACAGAGGAAGGTCTGCCTGAGCTGTCTGCTGAAGCATCCCTTCTAAGTTCTGATAAGCTTCAGTGCGCTGGAACCATGACCTCTCTGTCCACCCTGGTGCATTTGATGTCCTTTGGTGAACGGAGTAATCTGATTTCAAGGACTCGTTTCCCACGCAGGAAGTTGGCCCTGGACCCCGGCCAGCCGCCTTCCTGCACCTCTGTGTGTCCCCAGGAATGTCTCCCTCTTTGGAGGGAGTGGGGGAGAGAGAGATAGAGGCATGCGGGGCCTGCCCCCTTTTCAGGGGGTATCTCTGCTTGCAGATGTACACTGGGGAGGGGGGTGGCGGGCATCTCCACTTAGCCTCCGCTGGCGTATTGCTTAGCTGCCATCTTATCTGCCTGCCGAGAGATGAAGGTGCAGCTAAAACATTTTAGGGCAAGTCTTCCTAACCTATTTACATGTTATCTAACCCATTAAAGCCTCTCTTATCGGCCCATCAAGGCCATTACGGCTGGAAGCTGCCTCAACAGAGGGTCCTAATGAAGCAAAAGAGAGAGACTCCCTCTGGATGGAGAATGCCAGCAAGCTTTGATCTTTTCTCCCCCCCCCCAATACGGTGGGGCCGCTCAGGGTAGCCAGGGAGGGTCATGACGGGATGGAGATGGGGTCCACCCAGAATTTGCGGGGAGGGTTTGTGGAAGGCTTGTGAGATGGCAGAGAGTGGTGTTGTTGCTGCGAATGCGGCAAATTCAGGAGACGGATTTCTTCTGGCGCTGAAGGACCCAGGTTTTTGCATTACACAGAAGGCTGAATGTTTTAGAAAAGCAGTGCATTGATCTGAAGCAAGATCATATTTGTATCCTGCTCAGGGAAGCCTACATTGTCCTCACCATAACGGTATGCAGTAGATAGTGGCCCTCAACGTTGGTCGGCAACAGAAGAGCTAGATTCCAATAGCACCTTAGAGGCCAACAAGGTTTTGGGGGTATCATCTTTCATAAAATCATAGAATGTTTGAGTCGGAAGGGACCTTGCAGGTCATCTAGTCCAACCCCCTGCACTCTTCAGGAGACGGATTTCTTCTGGCGCTGAAGGACCCAAGTTTTTGCATTACACACAAGGCTGAATGTTTTAGAAAAGCAGTGCATTGATCTGAAGCAAGATCATATTTATATCCTGCTACACTGTCCTCACCATAACCATATGCAGTAGATAGTGGCCCTCACGTTGGTCGGCAACAGAAGAGCTAGATTCCAATAGCACCTTAGAGGGGAGCAAGAGAGAATAGATCTGCTCCATCTTCTACATGACAGCCCTTCAGATATTTGAAGACTGCAATCATGTCCCCTCTAAGCCTTCTCTTTCCCAGGCTAAACATACCCGACTCTTTCAGCCTTTCCTCGTAAGACTTGGATTCCAACCCTCTCACCATCCTGGCTTCTGGCTTCAAAGTTCTCTTTCCTTTCCTTCTTGTATCTGACGAAGGGTGTTTTGACTCTCGGAAACTTGTATCCCGAAAATCCTGTTGGTCTCCGCGCTGCTACCGGACTCGAATAGAACTCGTGCAGCACGTTCAGCGAAGTGATAGAGCAGGTCGACTAGCCCAAGGTCACCCAGTCAGCATCATGGCTGAGTAGGATTTGAACCCGGGTTTCCCAGTCCTAGTCCCACACCGCTGTGGCTAATTTAGTGACTAATCAAAACAGCTGCATTTTGTCTCACCTCGCTCAACCTTGTGTCTCAGTCATTGCCGCCCTGTGCAACTTTGAGAATGACAGGAGTACTCCGTCTATGAATGTTAGCTGCACAATGTGTCTTTTGTTGTTGTTGTTCAGTCGCACAGTCGAGTCCGACCCTTCGCGACCCCATGGACCAGATCCCGCCAGGCCTTCCTGTCTTCCGCCGTCCTCTGAAGTTGGCTCAATTTCATGTTCGTTGCATCTATGACACTGTCTAACCATCTCATCCTTTGCCGTCCCCGTCTTCTTTGACCCTTAATCTTTCCCAGCTTCAGGGTCTTCTCCAGGGAGTGCTCCCTTCTCATTGGGTGGCCAAAGTCTTTGCGCTTCAGTTTCATTATCTGGCCTTCCAGGGAACAGTCAGGGTTGATTTCTTTTAGCATTGACTGATTTGATCTCCTTGCAGTCCAAGGGACTCTCAAGAGTCTTCTCCAGCACCTTTTGTAGGACCAGCAAAAAGCATTCATACAACTATTAACAAGAAGAAGAAGAAGAGATTGGATTTATACCCCGGCCTTCACTACCCAAAGGTGTCTCAGAGCGGCTTACAAACTCCTTTCCCTTCCCTTCCCTTCCCCACAACAGACACCCTGTGAGGTACGTGGGGCTGAGAGAGCTCTTGACAGAAACTGCTCTTTTTCAAGGACAGCTCTTATCTGAACTACGGCTTGCCCAAGGTCGTCCAGCCAGGTGCAAGTGGAGGAGTGGGGAATCAAACCCAGTTCTCCCAGATTAGAGTCCGCGCACTTAACCACTACACCAAACTGGCTTAAGAACGCTGTCCCCCTTTTTGGAAGACTTCATGCAAGGAGAAGTGGGCTTCTAATTTTAGATACTCCCGTTGGATGCAAAATTGTCTGGTAGTTAGAAATCTGTATGTACTGAATGTTATTGCTTATTGAATGTAATGAATATTTATACCTGGCTAGGATGAAATAATGATACACTATGCACTTTACTAAATGATGACCATAAACAGAACACATTAGTTTGTTAAAAGGTTTTGGCAGTGTATATTTATTTGTTACTAGACTCTCCTAACACTGCAGCTCAGGTTACTTCAGCCCTGTGTACTCTCCCAGCAGAGGTGGTAAGAGCGCAGCCCGACCTGGCTGTGTGGATCTGCATTGACTCTTCCTCCGGAAACCTGTTATGTCTTGCCATAGTTCCTGGGGTACCCCTGACCCTTCAAGGGGAACGTCCTCAGAAATGATCCCTCTGTTGTTTATTGAAGATACTCTAGGATCCAGCTGTTGGAATCCGGATACTTCCAAACTGGCCCAGAAATCTTACGTAATGTGACGGCGGCCATCTTGGCCCAGGCTGTCACGGTGGGGGCCTTCTGGCCTGGCAGAGAGATGTCTGTGGGTCAGCTGAAGAGACCGCTTCCGGCTTTGAGCCTAGGTGAAGCTGAAGAGATCAGTCACCCCCTAGGGAAGCCCTCACCGTGTCAATCCCAAACAGAGAGCCCCGTTTTCTTTTTCCTTCCAAAGGGCAGCCAAGGCCAAAAGTCGTTGAGCTGCGCTGAGGCAGTGCAGGAGTTATGAGGGGGGCTCAGCCTGTCCCTCCCCCCCCCAAGAAATGGTCTCGGGTCCAGGAGGCTTTTGTTCTAAAGGAAGTGGCTAACTGTGGGATGTGGTTTTGTAGGCATTGTGGGAACTGCCTAGTCACGCCACCCCCATGGCCGTAAGAAATCAAAAACCCGACATGTGGAGTCATTGCTCAGTCAGGGCACCTTTCCTTAGTAACAGAGCAGGCCTTGGGAACATTGTGTGTGTGTCTGCCTTTCTTTTACCAACCTTTCCCCCCCTTCCTCTTTCCTCACCCTCTTTCTGACAGGTGAGCTGGAGTTGGCAGCATCGGAGGGCGAGAGCAAAGTCATTGCCAGGCAGAACGTGCCCGAGGGTTTGTCCTGGGGTCCCTACCGGGGGAACATCCACGCTGAACCAGCGCCTTCTCCAGGGCACGGCGAGATGGTAAGAACCCTTCCAGCGACGTGGTCTTGTCCACACGTGCCTGCAGAAGGATTCAGGGCGGGTTGCAGAGGGCACCCTTCCTTTTTCTTATGGAATTTTTGATTAATCCCCCCGCCCCCCAAAACAACCCTCCAGAAAGCAAAAACAAACAGACCAAACAAGCAAACCGAAACACAGAGGTTAAAAAAAAAAAGGTTGCACTGAATAATAATAATAAAACGGGTGGAAATATGAATGGAATATAAATAAGGAATACGATGATATACCATTACTTGTGAATCAGTGTACGTACAGCAACAAGTAACCAATATGCAAAACATGTTCTTTTGTTACAAAGTAATGGTTTCTCCACCAAAAGTTATCTGTGTTGAGCTGAAGGAAGGCCTTGGAACCTCAACAATCTCATTCACAAATGAATTAAGTAAAGGGTAAAGGCTTCCCTTGCTCGAAAGCCAGTCGAATCCGACTCTAAGGGGCGGTGCTCAAGGGGGCGGTGCTCATCTCCGTTTCCAAGCCGAAGAGCCAGCGCTGTCCGAAGATGTTTCTGTAGTCACGTGGCCGGCATGAATAGACGCTGAGACACACACAACGTTGTCACCTTCCCACCGAAGCGGTCTCTAAAGCAGCATCTTTGGGATGGTCTCTTATAGAAACATAAAGCTGGAAGGGACCTCCAGGGTCACTCAGGTCTCGAACTGCTGAACTACTGGCCTTCCGGTCTGCAGTTCAGCGCCTTAACCACAGAGCCACCGCAGCCCTGAAAGAAATCAGGACATTTTAAAATAATCTTCATGGCTCGTTTTGAAGATCCTCTCCCCTCATTAGAAGAATGCCCTAAAAAAAAGTAAACCATCAGGCTGAGGGGTTGCAGCCCTGTCTGCTATGGAGATGTTAGTTTCTGCTTACAGAGAGGTTTTGGTTAACAGGAAGGGGGATTAATTCAAAAATGTGATACCCCACCACCACCGCCTATACAGAACCATCTCACGACTGCGCCTTGACCAGGCCTAAGTCAGTAACTCCCACCTTGCGGACCCCAATCAAGTGGAAAAGCGGCATAAAATCGTTTTAAATAAAAATTAATCAATCAGTTAATTAAATCAGCACTAAAAGGGTTGCCATTCCCTGGTGGAGGAGTCTTGTGGTCTCTAAAGCAGCATCTTTGGGATGGTTTCTTATAGAATCATAAAGCTGGAAGGGACTTCCAGGGTCATCTAGTCCAACCCCCTGCACAATGCAGGAAATTCACAAACACCTCCCCCTCCACACACACCCCACTGGCCGCTGTTCCATGCCTAGAAGATGTTCTTCCCCCCCCCCCCCCGTGCCTGATACATCTTGGGACTCAAAGGATGCTGTTTAAAGGCAGCAACCAAACAACAATGTCCAGATGGGTCCATTTCCTTCTCTCTCGTGTGCTGTTACATGAGTTCAGCACGGCCCAAACCACAGAGTGACGTTTAGCATCGTGCAGAGTTCCCATCAGGGGGATGCGGCTTCTCCTGTTCCTGCTTATCTCCTTAGCCGATATCGTGGGAGGGTTATATCCCTTCAGCCCCAAGTTCCTAATAGGTTCAGTTCTCGATGGGCCTGCAAAGTGTTTTTGAAATCCAGGCTGGAAGGGCTGACCAGCTGGGCTTGTTCCAGAGCTGTCTCCTGTTCTGTTGGCAAGTGGGACTCTTTAAGGTAAAGGTAAAGGTTCCCTTGCTCGAAAGCCAGTCGAGTCCGACTCTAGGGTTGCGGTGCTCATCTCTGTTTCCAAGCCGAAGAGCCAGCGCTGTCCGAAGACATCTCCGTGGTCATGTGGCCGGCATGACTAAACACCAAGGCGCACGGAACGCTGTGACCTTCCCACCGAAGTGGTACCTATTTGTCTACTTGCAATTTCTTGCTTTCGAACTGTTCTATAACATGTGCATAAATCATCTGAAGTCAGGTGCGGTGGCCCTCTTTGCAGGTGACCCCAAACCATCTAGAACTGGGGTGTCAAACACACGGCCCGGGGGTCAGATCAGACCCCCGAAGGGCTTCCATCAGGCCCGCAGTGGAACTGGCCATCTCCTGCTTCCAGTTCTGCTGCTGCTGCATCATAGCTTCCTTCGCCAGACTCTCTTAATCATTGGTGGAAAGGGGTGTGGTAGAGGGTTTTTTTGGGGTGTTTTTTAAGAGGGAGGAAGAGATTGTCTCTTATTGCGTTGACTCCCACAGAAATGTTGCAAAATATTTCCAAACGAACGCTTGGAATAATATAAGAATAGGTGCACCCCGAAAGCACCATGGGTGTGACTGGTAAATAAATGTGGCGAGCACAGCGATACCGCGGAATTCAAGGAAAGCGCTCAGTTCTCCCACCCTCCTTGAAGAGGTGGCTGAAGTGGAGCAGAACTAGACCTGGCTCACATGGGGGGTGGGGTCCCTCGCCGTGATGCCGTCCCCAGGCACTGCAAGGAGCCTCGGCCGGCCCAAACGCCTGTCTCCTTAAGGGAGAGATGGGGGGAAAGCCGGGAGGCGGGTCTGGCGGGAAGCCGTCCAGCTCTTGACGATGCTTGCGAGAAATAATGGGACAGAAAGTCTTGGCCTCTCCTCTCCCTTTCTCTTTCTCTGGGCTCCTCGAGCCTCTCCCCCGTTTTATCTTTTGCCGAATTAAATCCTTGATTAACCCTTATCTTGCCAGTTTGGTGGCTATCTCTCCCGTGGCGCCGCATGTCCAGACAACCAGCACAGGATGATTGATTCCTTAAAGATATGCCGTCGCTTTTTTCATTTATTGTCTAAATATTTTTGCTCCCATTTCAGCAGCTTCCCTTATCAAGCCGGGCTGATGAGTCCCAGTGCTGCCTCTCTCTCCCCCCCCCCTTCCTTTCTTTTGCCACTCGCTTCCCCTTCACTGTCTCTGCCCAGAAGAAGGAATCACAGTTCTCGATCACAGAAAGGAACTGTAGGGCTTGGAGACAGGGAAAGGGGGGGGGAGTCTTCAGGAGGAAGGCAGCTTTCCCCGGCTGCATCTGTCCCTTGGTGCCTGGGCCAGAACAAGGAATCCACTTTGCGATGCTTTTTTATGTCTGTGGGGGGGAGGTCGGTTGGCTAAGAGGTGTCACAGTTTAAGTCCACAGGAGATCCCAATCCAGGGACTTGGAGGTGGAGGAACCAATCGGGTTGTCGGCAATGCTCCCTCTAAGCTGTGGGGTCTTGTGAGCAAAGAACATAAGAGACGCCAATGTTGGATCAAGCCAAAGGCCCATCCAGTCCATCACACAGTGGCCAGAAATACCAGGTGCCCTCAGGAGGTCCACCAGTGGGGCCAGGACACTAGAAGCCCTCCCACTGTTGGCCCCCCCTAGCACCAAGATGACAGAGCATCACTTGCCCCAGAGTCTCTATCTATACCTTGTGGCTAATAGCCACTGATGGACCTCTGCTCCATATGCTTATCTAATTCCCTCTTGAAGCCGTCCATGCTTGTAGCCACCACCATTCTACGTTGTGAGCCACTGGCATTAAAGAGTTGTGAGCCACTGGCATTAACGCTGTGAGCGGGCGATTCGGCTACTGCATAAATTGGTTTGCTCCGGAGCCCCATCCTTCCTGAGCTGAGACAAAGAATGCGTGAGCCGGAGGCTAAAAAAACTGTGAGCCAGCTCATACTCAGCTTAGAGGAAACACTGGTTGTCGGCAGGAGTTAGGGAATCCCTAGAGATTTGGGGGCGGAGCCTGGAGAGGGTGGAGGGAGGGGCCTCTGCAGGTTACAATGCCACAGAGCCCGTCCTCTAAAGTAGTCCGTTTCCCCAGGGGAACTGATCTCTGTTGTCTGCAGATGAGTTGCGATTCCAGGAGATCTCTAGGCCCCACCTGGTGTTTGGCCAGTCCAAGCAGAGGGAGGGCTCTGTGCCCCTGCCTCGGTCCTCAGGAGCTCAGCTGCCTCCGATTCACTGGCCTTGACTCCTGGTGGCATTGCCGGACAGCAGAGGGCCACAACCCCACCACCACCACCACCCACCGCGGACACCACATTGTCTGCTCTGCTCAGCCGAAATCTGTCCTGCAAATGAAAACAGGCCCACTTTGAACTGGAGATTCCCTCCCCCCC